TAGTTTTATATATATATATATTGTTTATGAAAAAAGAAATAGCTGCATTGAAGAGCCGAATGACAGTCAACTGACAAAATCCGTAGTTGAGTATAGCCCTAAAATTTTCTACAAATCACACCGCTTTTTCACAATGTCTTGGATTTCATGAAACATCCTGTCTTTATCTTTCAGGTTCACACATCAGCAGAAGATGTTGATGGGTTGGATGATGTTGAAAACAGCTTGTTGTACTATAATCAAGCCATCATCCACTATCATATGCGACAGTACTCTGAAGCCATTTCCATAGGAGAGAAGCTTTACCAGTTTCTAGAACCATTTGGTATGTTGTGGTGCTTTATATAGGGGTTTAGGAAGGTCTACTCAACAGATTGTCTAATTAATTGGCTGGTGGTTGATTCATGGAATTTTTGATTAGCATTTAAAATCATTTATCAAGGACAAAAATATCAAATATTTAGTTTTCAACTTAATTATAATTTGTTGCTTATAAAAAAAATAAATAAATCTTGACCACAGTCCTGTTTTATAGGCCTCAGTATTTCACTTACAGTCTTATGCAAAAGTTTAGGCACCCCTTGATAAATAACAGATTTTGGTGATTTTTTTATTTGAACAGATGTTAACACAGTTTCTCTTGGAAATGGAAAAAATGCACAATATTTTCTGCAAACAGTGATGCATAGTTACTTCTTATGCCATAAATTGAACAAAAATAAAAAATAAAAACATTATTATGGCATGGTGCAAAAGTTTGGGCACCCTACACAATCAGTACTTAGTAACACCTCCTCTGGCAGATATCACAGCTTGCAAACGCTTTTCATAGCCAGCTAAAAGTCTTTCAATTCTTGTACTTGGGATCTTCTCCCATTCTTCCTTGCAAAAGGCTTCTAGTTCTGTAATATTCTTTGGTCGTCTTGCATGCACAGCTCTTTTAAGATCTACCCACAAATTTTCAATGATGTTTAAATCAGGGGACTGTGATGGCCATTCCAAAACCTTCAGCCTGCGTCTCTTGAGGTATTCCATAGTGGATTTCGAGGTATGTTTAGGATCATTGTCCTGTTGTAGAAGCCATCCTCTTTTCAGCTTCAGCTTTTTTACAGATGGTGTGATGTTTGCTTCCAGAATTTGCTGGTATTTAGTGGAATCCATTCTTCCCTCCACCCGTGCAATGTTTCCTGTGCCACTGGCTGCAACACAACCCCAGAGCATGATAGATCCACCCCCATGCTTAATAGTTGGCAAGGTGTTCTTTTCATGAAATGCTGCTCCTTTTTTTCTCCAAACATGCCTTTGCTGATTGTGTCCAAAGAGTTCTATTTTAACTTCATCAGTCCACAGCACTTGTTTCCAAAACGCATCGGGCTTCTGTAGATGTCCTGTTGCATACTTCAGACGTTGGATTTTATGATGGGGACGCAGATAAGGTTTTCTTCTGCTGACTCTTCCATGAAGGCCTTGTCTGTGCAAGCATCGCTGCACAGTGGAACGGTGCACCACCACTCCTGAGTCTGCTAAATCTTCCTGCAGGTTTTTTGCAGTCAAATGGGGGTTTTGATTTGTCTTTCTGACCAGCATACGAGCAGTTCTGTCCGAGAGTTTTCTTGGTCTTCCAGATCTCATCTTGACCTCCACAGTTCCCCTGATCTGCCATCTCTTAATTACATTTCTTACTGTGGAAACTGCAAGCTGACAACGCTTTGCTATCTTCTTGTAGCCTTCTCCTGCATTGTGGGCATCAATAACTTTCATTTTCAGGGTCTTACACAGCTGCTTAGAGGAACCCATGGTTGCTGGGTGTCCACAAGTGTGTGCACAAGGTTTGAAGAGTCAAAGTATTTGTACAGCTTTGAAATTGGCATTTACCAATGACAGCTGTTGCTGTGCATCAGATCTAACGAGCTGATTAAGGTCTGATACCTTGTGAGAGACTTTGAGACTCTGGAACTCTTAGGGTGCCCAAACTTTTGCACCATGCCATAATCATGTTTTTATTTTTTATTTTTGTTCAATTTATGGCATAAGAAGTAACTATGCATCACTGTTTGCAGAAAATATTGTGCATTTTTTCCATTTCCAAGAGAAACTGTGTTAACATCTGTTCAAATAAAAAATCACCAAAATCTGTTATTTATCAAGGGGTGCCTAAACTTTTGCATAAGACTGTAATCTTGATACTTGATAAGGGTCTATGCTTTAGTCTCGAGTTTGGCATGCAGATTGTGTTATTTGTCCTAGAAGAGAAGTTTGCTCAGGCTGTGTGCTTCCTGCTGGTGGATCTGTACCTGCTCACCTTCCAGCCAGAGAAGGCCCTTCATCTGTTGGCTGTGCTGGATAAGCTCTTTGTACAAGGAAACAACAAGAACAGCAAAGGAGAGGTACCCCACCACACTACATTGTCATGGAAATAAAATTACAGTTTTACACAACCTGCTTTTATTTCGAGATGGGTTATGGTACATTTTACTTCAGCCTTATTGCTCAAATCTCGCTGCAGTAAATCACTAATAAAGTCGATAGAGAAACATTGATTTGGATCACAGAAGATGTGGACATAGATCATCAGTTTTATCTAAGCTAGTTGTTTACGTCATTTGCCTCCTAAGATTTCCACCTTTGCTCATATATAATACAGGTAAGTAGTGATAATCACAGCAATGGAAAATTGTATTTAAGGAATATAGTGTATTTTGAGAAGCCTTGGTAGACTGGGATAATCTGTAGACATTCTGACCACACAGAATTCTCAGAATTGTCTTTAGATAATATTTTCTTACATTATGTAACTAACAATTATCAAGCTAAAATACGCAACTTGTCCTGCTTTAATGACTACAACTGGGAAGAATTTTAATTAGTTTTGTAGTTTGTCTGAGGCCACTAACTGATTGTTCTCAATCAAAAGAAAGTTAAATCAAGCAGATTTAAAAGCATGCTATTTTACTGTTTGAGTGCTGTGCTTGATTCCAGAACAGTAGTTCAAATAAGGATGGAGCAAACCAGAAGGCGGAGTTCACAGCCATGATTGAGGCAGCCAAATCAAAGATGCACCAGGCAAGAGCTAGTTTAATAGATTTTTAACATCCAGTGTTTTTCTGTTTTAGTCTACACCTTGCTGACTGAGACTGACTGTTTCCTTTATAGTACAAAGTGAGAGCTTACATTGAGATGAAATCCTCCAAAGCATGTAAAAGGGAAATCAAATCAGTGATGAACACAGCGGGAAATGTGAGTCTCAGTTTTGATTTCACATCATCACATTGTTCAAACAGTGAAGGGAAGGGGATAAATTTTATCCAACAATACAGTATATGTGATGTCATTGTGTTTGGAAATCATCATGGTCCTTTCCCCCTGACTGACAAACTGGGGGCTGGAAGTGAAGACAACTGTGCATACACTGTTCTGTTTCTCTCTCTGACTTGTGGTTTCTCTCCTCTCCATCAGTCTGCACCCTCACTCTTCCTCAAGAGTAATTTTGAGTACCTGAGAGGAAACTACCGGAAAGCAGTGAAGCTTTTGAACAGCTCCAACATTGCGGAGCACCCTGGACCCATAAAGACAGGTGGCAACTATTGTAACTCTCAGGATTGACTTCTTTTGATGAACCTGGTGTCATAAAGCCTTAAAACTAGTTTTGGTTTGACTTACCATGCAGTGTTTCCCACAAAACTTGATTCTACTTGGGGCAGTACATGCTTTTATAAATTATGTATTAAATATAGTAATACTTTAATCACTCTGCATGGACAAATAAAAACGAGGCCACTTTGCTTCTATCTCTTATGTTCCATCTGGCCTAGTGCTTCTGCACTGCACTTAGCTGCTGTCTTCTTCATCCTCTCCCACATCTCTCTTTTCCCTCACTTGGTGTTTCAGCAGCACTGGTTGAAGTCTGGCCATAAATTGAATGGATCGCTAAGCACTTTAGTCAAGCAGTTCACCTTTGCCATGTATGCTTTCTTAAGTTTCTAATGTTAACTCAATTTTGCTAATACCTCTGGTTCATACTGCCTGCTTCACCAGAGGATTTGTCCTTTGAGTCTTGGAAATTATTTTTCAGTATTCCTCCAAACTGAGGGAACAAACATTAAGCATCAGAGTTTAAGAATCAACATTAACTTTATCCACTTGCAGAGCAGTTGATGTTGTCTAGCAGCTATATACAATGTGCTAACCTCGCCAACCAGCTGTCTTCTAACATTAGCTTAGCTATCTTGACTAGTTTGCTAATAGCATATTAGAAGAGTTGTCTCTGCGATTGACAGTGTTAAAACCAGAAACAAAGAGAAAGAGCTGTTCGCAGATGGTCCGTAGTCAGTATGTGAGAAAGCATGGCAAGAAGAAGCTGAGCCAAGCAATGCATGCAGCAGAGTAAACCTCTAATTTTGTGAAATAATAAACCATACATTATTTGCTAATCAAAGTATTTGTGTATAAATAAGACACGTAGTGCTTTCTTCAGCTAACTTTAGTTGTGCTCCTTTTTTGCTCCTGACCAGGGACATTGTTGCTGCACATTGTTCTCCCCTCAACAACCCAGTTGGAGAAATTAATGTGAATATCATGCTGTATTCATGATAGAAAATAAAGCTAATTTGACCAATATCAATTATAAAGCACCAGAAAAATGTTAGCAGACCTGCCAAGCTATATGCATTTTGTGTAGCAGGTATTGTTTTTTTATATCAAAGTACACTGGTATTTGTCACTCTGAAGTACACAAAAAGATGGTGACACCTTGCGAGTTTGACCTGTACCGTTAAAGTCTACCCCACTGAGAATCTAACCCATAGACAGAGGTCTTCCTGCCAAAAAACAAAAGAAGAAAAAGAGTTTAACCAATCATAGCGCGGGATTAAGGGGTTGATTGACAAATGTTTCGTTTTAAAGTCATTTCAATATACAGTAGCTAGAATCCATAAATTGAAAGAAACACTATTGACCTTGATTTTATCACTCTCAAGCCCCCTCCTACATCCTCTGTGTGGCTGGTTCTTTGAACTTCTTTAAAAAGGTGAATGTACCTGGAGATGTGGACTCTGATTTCAGTTAATGTTAGCCCAACATTACGTATACGGTATATACCTATATACAAGCTAGCTTGCTTGTTCATCAGGCATTTAAATTGGCAAAGTAAGCTATATCATTTGTCTGTCACAGATGATATAGCTGATGAATCCTATAAAAATGGAACAGGACATGGTGTTTCTAAACTAGCCCCCTCCACATCACTCTGCTGCCCACACCATGCCTTTTTGTTCCTGCCTCTCAACTCTGTGTTGATGGCCAATCTGGACATTAGCCCTGCCTGCCCACCTAGTGAAGGTTCTAAGAAATGTTTTTTGAATATCAGCATCATTTCCATCAGCCAGCCATGGAGGAGCGCTCATCTGCTAAAAGTTCAAAACAGTGGCTGCCAGATTGAAGAGGTTTTTATTATTATTATCATTATTATTATTATCCCCCCCCCTCCAAAAAATACACAGGGGCACCGTCTCCTCACTGTCACATTGCATCATGCTGCTACATTGCTGCTGTAGAGTCAGGACTTGTTAGACAGTTATACTGCATTTTCACTGTTGGACCTTAACAAGTGGTACAACCTGTGCTTCCCTTAGCATCACTCGGCATAACCTTCCAGATTGATGCGGACCACCCTACTTTGCTTTTCCATTGTACTTTTAGCTATCTGTCTTTGCTTAGAGGACACTAATTGACATAATGCTTTCCCTAGCCCCTTACCCTACCCTTAACCATCAGAACTAAATGCCTAAATGAACTAAATAACGTGAACTCTAAAACCAAGTTTAAACCCTCAAAAGGCTGATTCAGAAAGTGAGGACCAGCCAAAATGTCCTCACCCTATAGCAAAAATATACTTTTTTTGATCCTCACTGTATAGCAAGTACAAGAATGTATACACATACAGTTGAGCAGAGGGAGAGGAGAGGATGTGAAGGATCACTCCATAGTGCAGCAAACACACAGTAAAGGAGACTGGATTGAGCAGTTTATCAAACAGCTGTTTTATAAAAACCGCAGAAAAGTGACATCTGCACCAGTTTTCCCACGGTCCACTTACTGAAGTCCCTGTTTTTTTCCTAAACCAACAAGTGAAGTCATCCTTTAGTCAATATAGTAGCTTTGGGCTGGTGACTGCATTCGTCACTGCTAGGAAACAGGATGTCATTTTGTTTTGAGTCTCACGGCAGCTGAAATAATTAGTTGATGGACTTTTAAGTAGTTAAAAAGAGAATAAATTGAAAAGAAAATAAACACGTGGTGTTCAATATTGATATTGGGTTGAGCCGCCACAAATAAATCAGTGTATGGGAAACACTGCCATGTGTCAGACTGTTACCCCTGATTTCCACCGGCTGTGGTTGCATTGCATTCTGTCTGCAGCGCAGTTTTGATCCTTCCTCTGTGCAGCTTCGTCCCCCACTGGGAATATATGCCAAACAGCTCGTTGTGGTGCTGATTTTTCATGTAGGCTATTTTACTTTATTTTTGATCTTCTACTATGCTTCCTAGTTACTTTTTTTTTTTGGTCTGTTTTAGTTGTAGGGCAGCACAGCGGTGCAGTGGTTAGTGCTGTTGCCCCAGAGCAAGAAGAATCAGGGTTCGAGCTTGGGCCGACCTGGGGCTTTTCTGTGTGTAGTTTGCATGTTCTCCCTGTGCCTGTGTGGGTTTTTTCCAGGTACTCTGGCTTCCTCCCACAGTCCAAAGACATGCAGCCTAGGTTGATTGGCGACTCTAAATTGCCCCTAGGAGTGAGTGTGTGTGGTTGTTTGCCTACATGTCAGCCCTGTGACAGACTGGCAACCTGTCCAGGGTGTGCCCTGTCTCTCACCCAATGTAAGCTGGATTGGCTTCGGCCCCCCATGCTGCAGTAAATCACTAATAAAGTCAATAGATTTGACTTGGGAAAATCTAATGGGAAAATCGTTACCTGATTGGTGGGTCAAACTTCTGTCAGGAGCAGCATCTGTCAAAAACAGACTAGCATATCTTTAGTGGAGTGGAGAGCTGCTTCTGAGACCCAAAGTAGCCACACCCAGTGGAATCACAAGCATTGACAGCTGCCCATTGGCAGTGATCCTCTCCGGTCCTTTAACTAGCTTTAGCAGTGACATTTGATGATTTTTATGTGTCAGTTGATGGATTGTATATCTGTTCTGACTTGTCTCATTCAGGTGAATGTGTCCGATGTATGTTCTGGAACAATCTGGGCTGCATTCACTTTGCAATGGGGAAGCATAACTTAGGCATTTTCTACTTCAAGAAAGCACTGCAAGAGAACGACCATACCTGCGCACAGATGGGAGATGGCAGCAATGGACAATGTGGGTCACAGCAAGCACTGTCTCCTCAATCTGCTTTCAAATGATACTCCATATAATTCATTTTATTAAGCACTCATCTCTTATAGGTTTGAAGGTGGATGTAAACAGTTTGTAGCTTGCTCCTTAACAAAGGACAGCAGTTATTTTCATCTTGTGTTAAAAGTGGCTACAGTGGATGCCATCTTTACCCAGCATTGCATCAAAACACTCATGGAAACCTTTCAAAGAATCACTTCAGCATAACCCTCATAGTTCTCTATCATCTACTAGAATTTTATGAAACATGATCAAAAATGGCATAAAATAATAACATTGTTTACTGTTTTCTCTGATCACCATTGGAATTCACTGAGATCAGTGAATCCAAATGGACTAGAGCCTTTCATCACAAAGAATCTAGCTACTTGTATGGCTGTTTAAAATCCACAAAAACAAAAAACTCATTTTTTACACTTCTTTGTAGTGTAATATCTCTGCCGCTAGTTTTGGCTTTATTTGTACATGTTACTGTTACTCATCAGAATTCTCACAGGAAATCTTTCACAGAAACAAGTTCTGGTGAGAAGAAAATTTATTCTCACAGGAACCAAAGAAATGATCATTATGAAAACTGTAAACAAAGGTTTATGGATTATCCAGAATATCAGAAAACCTGTTGCTGGTGATTTTTTTTTTAATATCATATTGCAATTCTGTGAGCAACACAATATAATATTCCATTCAGCTGAAATGGGCTGGGTGAAGGCTGAAAACACAGACAAAGGGCTCATATACTGGACATACAGTGCCTTGCGAAAGTATTCGGCCCCCTTGAACTTTGCGACCTTTTGCCACATTTCAGGCTTCAAACATAAAGATATAAAACTAATTTTTTGTGAAGAATCAACAACAAGTGGGACACAATCATGAAGTGGAACGAAATTTATTGGATATTTCAAACTTTTTTAACAAATAAAAAACTGAAAAATTGGGCGTGCAAAATTATTCAGCCCCTTTACTTTCAGTGCAGCAAACTCTCTCCAGAAGTTCAGTGAGGATCTCTGAATGATCCAATGTTGACCTAAATGACTAATGATGATAAATAGAATCCACCTGTGTGTAATCAAGTCTCCGTATAAATGCACCTGCACTGTGATAGTCTCAGAGGTCCGTTTAAAGCGCAGAGAGCATCATGAAGAACAAGGAACACACCAGGCAGGTCTGAGATACTGTTGTGGAGAAGTTTAAAGCTGGATTTGGATACAAAAAGATTTTCCAAGCTTTAAACATCCCAAGGAGCACTGTGCAAGTGATAATATTGAAATGGAAGGAGTATCAGACCACTGCAAATCTACCAAGACCTGGCCGTCCCTCTAAACTTTCAGCTCATACAAGGAGAAGACTGATCAGAGATGCAGCCAAGAGGCCCATGATCACTCTGGATGAACTGCAGAGATCTACAGCTGAGGTGGGAGACTCTGTCCATAGGACAACAGTCAGTCGTATACTGCACAAATCTGGCCTTTATGGAAGAGTGGCAAGAAGAAAGCCATTTCTTAAAGATATCCATAAAAAGTGTCGTTTAAAGTTTGCCACAAGCCACCTGGGAGACACACCAAACATGTGGAAGAAGGTGCTCTGGTCAGATGAAACCAAAATCGAACTTTTTGGCAACAATGCAAAACGTTATGTTTGGCGTAAAAGCAACACAGCTCATCACCCTGAACACACCATCCCCACTGTCAAACATGGTGGTGGCAGCATCATGGTTTGGGGCTGCTTTTCTTCAGCAGGGACAGGGAAGATGGTTCAAATTGATGGGAAGATGGATGGAGCCAAATACAGGACCATTCTGGAAGGAAACCTGATGGAGTCTGCAAAAGACCTGAGACTGGGACGGAGATTTGTCTTCCAACAAGACAATGATCCAAAACATAAAGCAAAATCTACAATGGAATGGTTCACAAATAAACATATCCAGGTGTTAGAATGGCCAAGTCAAAGTCCAGACCTGAATCCAATCGAGAATCTGTGGAAAGAACTGAAAACTGCTGTTCACAAATGCTCTCCATCCAACCTCACTGAGCTCGAGCTGTTTTGCAAGGAGGCATGGGCAAAAATTTCAGTCTCTCGATGTGCAAAACTGATAGAGACATACCCCAAGCGATTTACAGCTGTAATCGCAGCAAAAGGTGGCGCTACAACGTATTAACTTAAGGGGGTTGAATAATTTTGCACGCCCAATTTTTCAGTTTTTTATTTGTTAAAAAAGTTTGACATATCCAATAAATTTCGTTCCACTTCATGATTGTGTCCCACTTGTTGTTGATTCTTCGCAAAAAATTACAGTTTTATATCTTTATGTTTGAAGCCTGAAATGTGGCAAAAGGTCGCAAAGTTCAAGGGGGCCGAATACTTTCGCAAGGCACTGTATAAAATCAAAACTATCAGCAATGAGAGGTTCAACTCTAGAGAAGTCAGAAAATATCCTTATTGCATTTGTGTTAAGTGACTTTTAAAGTCTACAGGGTTCATGTTTAAAGTCCATGTTACATTGTAGTGTTAAGTGCACACCTTTAGCTAAGCCATTTATGAAAATGTATTATTAACCTGTAGACACCTAACAGTAACATGCCCCTTTCTTCTGTTGTTATTTTTACTCTCCAGCTAAGAAGTTCACAGGCATCCCCATGTGTGCTCTACTAGCCAACAAGCGCTATGAGCTGCTCTATAACTGTGGTATTCAGCTGCTGCACATCGGTAGGCCTCTGGCAGCATTTGAGTGTCTCGTGGAGGCAGTGCAGGTTTACCACTCTAACCCTCGACTGTGGTTACGGCTCGCAGAGTGCTGCATCTCTGCTAATAAGAGGGTAAGACCAAATTGATTATGATCCTGATTAGGGATGGGCAATGACTTTTTGATTGTGCGAATAGTCATTAAATTTAAAAAAATGTAATATTTCATGCAACTATGGTTTTGTTTTTAAAACAAAGAGCCATTGTTTTTTTCTTGCTTTTACCAGCACCTGAAAATAACACGATAATGAGGCCAGTTAATCTTTTTACTGCAGCACCAAATACAAATAGCAGAAATATGTAGAGACTACAGCCATCAAAAAGTTCTGTGTGTGTAATGGGAAATTTATATCAGTACCCTTTTAGTGTATTGGCTGTTGCTATGTAGTTTTTCTATGCCGTTATTTGTGTGCTTGTGACACTAGACAGTTTACTGTGTCAGCATGTTGTAGAAATAAACATGCCTTTGTGTGAATGCTGAACCAGATAACTTGTATCCTGTTTTGTATCTACTAGAGGATCTGTTTCCTGCATTTGTGTGTGTGTGTGTGTGTATAAGAAGAGATGTAGCCTTCCATTCTAGGAGCCTCTCTCTTCAGACTGTTACTGTTAGCACTCTGTACAGAGACTGCCCCTTCCCTGCAGGGAATAAATGTGCCACAACTTTCAGATTTGGTATCAAGACTTTATTTCATACTCACCGAGTTTTAATAACATCATTTTTGCCACAGCAGTGTGGAATTTATTCGAGTAAATAAATGATAATGGAGTGCAGTGCAATCTCTGCCAGGTTAAGTTAGCATTATCATAAAGCGACAACTACTGTATGCACAGCTATTTGAAGGTGGAAGATCCAGCAGCAAGTGGGGTGCAGTGCCTAGCTTTGTCGCAGGAAAACGTTTGATCAATTTGCAGAGCAAACAATGGCCCTCATCACAAAGATGATGGCAAAAAGACATGGAGTTAAAGCTAAGCTAAAGCTAACACCACATTGGCTCTCTTTACCCAGCATTTTCCTCGTCAATGTGCGATCATTGGCTGATCAAGATAGATGAGATACAACTTTGCATCACCAACAGTAAGAGATTTATGGACTGCAATGTTAGGTTTTCACGGAACCTGACTAAACAGCAGCATACCCGACAGTGCTGTCGAGCTAGCTGGATGCTACACACTCTGGGCAAATGGAACGGCAGATGACTCCGGTAAGACCAGAGGCGGAGGACTGTGCATTTATGTTAACAAAGTTTGGTGTACGAATTCTGTCATCACTGAGAGACACTGCTCAGCTAACCTGGAATTTCTTATGGTTAAGTGAAGGCCTTTTTATCTGCCCAGGGAGTTCACTTCACTTCCACTATAATAATTGCAACTTGTATCGCCCCGGACTCTAATGCCAAGCTTGCTATGAACGAACTTCATGTGGCCATTAGCAAACAACATTTATTGTTGCGGGTTATTTTAATCATCCATTCATCCATCCATCTTCCTCCGCTTATCCGGAACTGGGTCGCGGGAGCAGCAGTCTAAGCAGAGATGCCCAGACTTCCCTCTCCCGAGACACTTCCTCCATCTCCTCCGGGGGCATACCGAGGCGTTCCCAGGCTAGCCGAGAGACATAGGTCCTGTGTCTTCCCCAGGGCTTCCTCCCGGTGGGACATGCCCGGAACACCTCCCTAGGAAGGCACCCCGGAGGCATCCAAAACAGATGCCCGAGCCACCTCAGCTGGCTCCTCTCAATGTGGAGGAGCAGCGGTTCTACTCTGAGCTCCTCCCGGGTGACCGAGCTCCTCACCCTATCTCTAAGGGTGCGCCCGGCCGCCCTGCGGAGCCCAAAGCTCATGACCATAGGTGAGAGTCGGAACGTAGATCGACCAGTAGATCAAGAGCTTCGCCTTGCAGCTCAGCTCCTTCTTCACCATGACAGACCGAAGCATTGATCGCATTACTGCAGAAGCTGCACCGATTCACCTGTCAATCTCCCGTTTCATCCTTCCCTCACTCGTGAGCAAAACCCAAAGATATTTAAACTCCTCCACTTGAGGCAGGACCATGACAGACCAGAGCATTGATTGCATTACTGCAGAAGCTGCACCGATTCACCTGTCAATCTCCCGTTTCATCCTTCCCTCACTCGTGAGCAAAACCCAAAGATACTTAAACTCCTCCACTTGAGGCAGGAAACCCCCACCAACCCGAAGGGAACAAGCCACCCTTTTCCAACTGACTTGGAGGTGCTGGTTCTCATCCAAGCCACTTCACACTCAGCTGCAAACTGTCCCAGTTCACGCTGAAGGTCCTGGCTTGATGGAGCAAACAGGACATCATCCGCAAAAAGCAGAGACGAGATCCTGTGGTCCCCAAAACGGACTCCCTCCGGCCCCTCGCTACGCCTAGAAATTTTGTCCATAAAAATGATGAACAGAACTGATGACAAAGGGAGTCCAACATGCACCGGAAACAAGTCTGACTTACTGCGGGCAATGTGAACCAAGCTCCTGCTCCGGTCATACAGGGACCAGACGGCCCTCAGTAGAGGGCCCCAGACCCCATACTTCTGGAGTGCCCCCCCACAGGGCGCCACGAGGGACATGGATGAATGCCTTCTCCAAATCCA